TTTGGTTCCAGCGCCGATGCTGTGCGTAGAGGTAAGCCCCACCAGATCCAACTGATAACGCTCCACCTCCCGCACAAGCTCCGGCTCCTTCCCCCCCAGAGAGGTTACGTTCCACGTCCCCAGAGCCAGCATCTGCCGCCCAGGTCTGTTCCGTCTAGACCCCCCACTGTCACTGCCACCCTTGTAGCAGCGCACCCGACCCCATCGGTTTCCTCCACAGGTGGTGAGCCCATGGGGAGTAGAGTGTTGGGCTGCCGTGTCACTCCTTCGGGCTGTGCCCGGCCGGGCTCCGCGGTAAACCCGGCCACCAGACGCTCGCTGTCGGGCCCTCCATCTGAGCCTGGCTCCAGATGGGGGCCCCGGGCTTCCTCCGGGCTGGGTAACTCCTTCCCTCTTCCTCGCCTGAGACCACTTTGCCAAGGGTAACCCTACCAGGAGCACAAGGCTCCCGACAACACAGCCCTCAGGTTCATAGGGACACACAAACCTCTCCACCACGATAAGGTGACGGTTCCCAGAGAGACCTGGAAGCAGCTAAAATGAAATTTAAAAACATAGTTAAAAAGGTATGACATATATTGCTACGATTGCACCTCACTTTAATTTTAATTCATTTTTTGTAATTGACTTAGTTGACTATTAAACAAAGTAAATATTAATGCAGTGGCTACTTGAAATAGTAAATTAAACCCCTAATAAAATGTTGTTTTTACACATCTTTTCACTTAATACCCCACTTAGGAGACACTTAGACACATTTTTATTTTATACCTATCAAAGTCATTTAAAATGTGACGCTGTAGTTTAGGGCTGGCTCAGGTTAGACGGACCAGCCCTTAGTTAAGCTGCTAGAGGCTTAGAATGCCGGGGGACTTCTTAGGACACACCGAGCTCCTCGCTCACGCTCTCGTTCTACCATAATCCACGTTGTATTAATGCACATGACTAATTCAGCTTCTTTCAGGGAGTTTTTTTTGTGCTTTCTCCCCTATCAGGTCTCCGTAGATCGTGGTTCCTTCGGGACCCTGGTCCTGACACCTGGTCCTGCCATGCTGACGCCTGCTGCTGCCATCATCATCATCATCATCATTGTTCTATGTGATGGTGGTTCTATCTGATGGTGGTTCTATGTGATGGTGGTTCTATGTGATGGTGATGGTCCCTGCAGTGGTCCTGCTGTGCGTCTGGTTTACTACTCACAGTTACTTGAATCATTTCTGTCATATAGTCTCATGTATTATACATTGTTCATTCTGTACACATGGCATCATTGTAGTCTGTCCATCAGGAGACGGATCCTCCTCTGACGTTCTCCCTGAGGTTTCTTCCCTTTTTTCCCTCTTGGAAGGGTTCTCATTTTTTGGGGAGTGTTTCCTGTGTCGATGGAGGGTTTCGGGACAGAGGATGTTGTATGTGTACAGACTGTAAAGCCCTCTGAGGCAAATTTGTAATTTGCGATTTTGGGCTATACAAAATAAAATGAAATGAATTGTAGCCTACACCAACACTCATCAAAATACTAATTAAAAAACAAAGAAACATTGAGTTTTGCTCAGCCAACAGAGAGAAGGCAGAGGCCCAAAAAACAGGTGGAGGACCTCCTCCACCACCTCTGACAGAGGCGGAGGAGCTGGCCCTCAGCCTAAACAGTGGTCGCCGGGTGGGTGAAGGTATCCCTGAGCCGGTCAGCCCCCAGGACACAAGTGACTACATCAGATGCAAGTATACACTTCTTTAAAAAAAATAAAACTAACATATACACCACCGTTCAAAACTTTGGGGTCACCCAGACAATTTTGTGTTTTCCATGAAAAGTCACTTATTATCAAATGCGTTGGAAAAATGAATTGAAAATATAGTCACGATATTGACAAGATTAGAAATAATGATTTTATTTGAAATATTAATTTTGTTCTTCAAACTTTGCTTTTGTGTGAAAGGATTTTCTATTCACATAGTCCCCTTCATCGAGTGCAGGCGCAGTAACAGGAATATGTGTTCCATCTATGCATCCTATCACATTTGGAAGCCCTGCAAAATGACAGCTAATTAAGCTTCTGAGGTCGCAGCAGAATGTACATCATAATTTAAAATAATATATGATTTCTACATCAGTCACTTGCAATCCTGTGGAATTCCTCTCTGATGGTTCTAAGAGGTTTGTGTCCGGGAAACAAGCGTTTCAGTGCGCGGGGAACTTTCCTCACAGCTCTACAAACTGCTGCCTTGCCAAAGTGCTCTGCAGCCCCGATGTTATAAAGAAAACCACCATTGGCAAAAAAAACGTGGCGCGATGCACAAGATTTGCCCCGATGTGAGTGCACGTCCGCGGTGTGCGAGTTTGGTGATAGACGGCCGGAGAATGTTAGTGAGATAAATGATCCCTTGTGAGGAAAAGCTGTAGCGTTCTAACAAATTCCTCTGGAAATGATAAAACGTCTAATCTGGGTCGGAAGACTCTCTCGCGACGTAAAGCGTTTCGAATCACGACTGCTTCGATGTCAATTGGATTCGGTAGGAACGGACAATCCATGTCTACCAGCATCTTCATGTGGGAGGAGACGGTAGAAAGGTTTGTTATAGTAAACCTGCCAGCGAGCACATCATGTTCACAGAGTCTGTTACCATGGTGATTGACTCAGAGTCTGTTACCATGGTGATTGGCTCAGAGTCTGTTACCATGGTGATTGACTCAGAGTCTGTTACCATGGTGATTGACTCAGTCTGTTACCATGGTGATTGACTCAGAGTCTGTTACCATGGTGATTGACTCAGAGTCTGTTACCATGGTGATTGACTCAGAGTTTCAGTTACCTCTATCTGGAACGGATAACTCAGTTTCCCTGATCTCAGGGTTAACTTACTCTGAGTTTTCACATAACCCGCTTTCTGGAACACCCCCCTGGTATCAGGAAAAACCCAAACGATACTCATCCATAGTCGATAATCGTAAACGTAAAAATACTTTCTTGGGGCCTAATTGAATGGTGGGGAAATATGCCTTGGAATTCTCATTGTTAGTTTAAATACATTTTCTCACTTTTTCATGTATACACAGAGATTTCACAAAGTTTCTGGTCATGGAAATTTGGTTTGAAGTCATGGAAAAGTCAAAATGTATGAGCCCTGTATAGGTCTGAACCACCTGAAAAGAAAAAAAGGATAAAACTGCATTTTCTGCAATAACGGAAATGTCACCATTTTTAAATAAATGTTGATTGTTAGAATGTTGTTTAGAACTGGTAGTTTAAATTAAATACTATCATCACTGCTAATTAAAGTTTGAATGGAATTCAACGTTTAAACATAAGACAATTTAATTCCTGATCGATTATCATTGCAGGTGGCTTAGACTTTTACTTTCTTAAATTGGCTTTTGAATTGATTTTCATTTTAATTCTACATTCAGATAATTTGGGTTTTTGGTTTCCTTCTCTCTCCAGTGTTTAATCTCCGGTTTCCGGATTTTTATTTTTTAATTAACTCAAGACATAACTAGTTTGATTTTCTTGGACCAGTTCAAGATTGATTGATTGACAGATTTTTTCAGAAGTTGCTGCATCAGTAGTCTGCAGTTCTTACCTCCAAAACGCTGAGTCAAAAGTTATTTTGACGCTATCAGCGTTTTGATTTATTATTTTGACTCAGCGTTTTGATTGACTGTCTCCCTTTCAGGTCCAGTAGTTTACCGTGCGTTGCTGATTTCAGTTGGCAATCTGATTTAACATTTTTGTAGGATTCATTAATTTATACTTTGCATCATTTGTAGTTTCCTCAGTCAGTGACAGAGTAGAAACTACAAGAAAAGGGGCAGCTCAGGGGTGTTTAGAATACACCAGGTTGCATGATGGTTGCGCTTACGACTCAGGAATTGCTGGGTAGAGCCAGAGAGTGCATGACGGAGGGGGGTAGGGGGACTGATGATGGAGGTAAGAACTGCAGACTACTGATGCAGCAACTTCTGACAAATCTGATATCTGCAGCAGCAGGAGCAAAAAAAAGACAACTGCAGGTGAGAGATGAACAGACCTCCTAAACTCAGAGATGGGCTGTAAATTGTTGAGTGCTGCTATAGAGTGTATAGTGCAGAGGTCTCTAACTCATTTTAGGTTTGTACCATTAAAATCATGGAGGGGGAAGATGGCCAGTGAGCAGTCACGTAACTTAGAGCTCTCGGCGGTGATAAACCCTCAATCATAATTTAAACAAATAGATTCAATATAATATAGAAGGGAACTTTTAAAGAGGTCAGATATATGAAGAAAATCAAGTCAGTGATGATAGAAAAGGAATTTCAATGGTGAGAAGAACGGGTCCGGTGCGGAGCCAGCTAGCCTAAACCAACTGGTAGACTTGCTAGCACCCAAATGCAAACAACTGGATGAGGTGAAAAATTAGGTTAAAGAAGCCAAATGGGATAAGCGATGTGAGGAGTGATGTGAAGGAAGAATTTGACAGGATCCGGAGAGAAACTCTCTCGGCAAGGATTAATGCCGACATGAAAACGCAGCATGACCATATGGAGGAGGCGCAAACACGCATAGCTGAACTGGAAGAATGGCAGACAGAAGCTAAGATCCTAACTATGCCGGCCCACACCCAAAAGCTTCAGGAGAAAATGACGGACCTCGAGGGGAGGTCGAGGAGGAACAACATTTGCATCTTTGGCATACCGGAGGGCACGCAGGAGAATTCGATAGGCAAGTCAAGTCATTTTATTTTGTATAGCCCATAATCGCAAATTAGAAATTTGCCTCAGAGGGCTTTACAGTCTGTACACATACAACATCCTCTGCCCCGAAACCCACCATCGGCACAGGAAAAACTCCCCAAAAAATGAAAAATACCTGCAGCTGCTTCCTAACCACCAAACTCGAAGTGCCTAGCGACATCCAGCTCCAGATACAGGGCGCGGGCCTCCGAACGCACCCTCAAGAGCAATGGTAGTGAACTTCTTAAAATTCGAGACCAAGTAAATGGTGTTTGACTTTGGTCAATAACCCTATATAACTTTGCTTGTATAGGGTTATTGATCTAGGAATAGATGGCTATGACAGGTGTCATACCCATCCAATGTTAATTGATTGAATTCAAGAAGATGCATTCAATTGGGTGCAAGAAGAGGAACAAGGTAAAAACTGAAGAAGGATAGAGCCCAAATTATATATCTGCAGGAGACTCACCTCAACAAAGTAGAACATGACAGGCTAAAGAGATATGAATAACTAATTGGAAATTGAATGTGGGTCTACTGAATAATAAACAAAGAAAGGACAAAATCAAATTGGGAATATAAAACTGTTACGGAAAACGACAATGAGATGGTGGAGCCAACGATGGTTTGGGACACCTTGAAGGCAGTTATGAGAGGCAGATTAATTTCAGAATCAACCTATGCAAAAAAAAACGTGAAATAACGTATACGAAAATATAGAAAAACAGGATTGGAAAGAGACTACCAGAATTCAGCTGACTTGGACACACAAAAGAAAATTAAACTCGTAAAATTAGAGATAGATAAACATCTAACAGAGGAGGAAGTTATTATGAGATCGGCCCGAGAGCCACTAAACTATTGGCGAGACTGACCCATAGGCAACTCGCGGCTAGTCAAATCCATAAAATTAGGGACCCCCGTACGAACCAATTGATAACAGAGCCAGAGGATATAGAAAGAACATTCCAGAGAGATTATGAGGAGTTATATACACAGCTAGAGTCTAAACAAGACTCCTCTCTTTGTGCAAACACACTGGACCTACCAAAGAAAGGACAGACACAGAACGATGTCCTAACAAGGGATATTTCAATAGAGGAGGAAGTGGAGGCAATAAATACCTAAACCGGGGAAAGATAGGGAATTATGCAGAAATAATCGTCCAATATCGTTACTAAAAGGTTATATACATCTATTATTGCTACACGACTACACGCCTTTACACAGGATTTGATCGACGAGGACCAAACGGGATTTGTGAGCGGGCGACAGACGCACGATAACATTAGGAGGACACTGCGCCTTATAGACCAGGCAAACAAACTGTCAGGATCTGACTGATCTGGTGTGTTTTCTAGTTTCAGGCTGGGCGAGCAGGTTTCCACGGTTACCTCGGCGGAGTCTGGTGGCTGCCTGCTGTCACACCTGTTGTGCATCTACCATTGTCAGGAACCCTTCTTAAGGAGCAGCAGGAGCACCAGTCTTCAGCAGATCGTTTTGCCCTCCGTGTGGTAACTTGGCAGCGTTCACCAGAGTTTTGATTAACAAAGAAAGAGTTTTTGTGCACTTACCTTGTCTCCTTGTTCCAGCCTCGTCCAAGCCTTGTTCCTCCCGAGTCTGAATGCTTCCTTTCTCATCTCACCCGCCACAACTCCGGAAAACTCCCTCCAGCCGGTCAAGTCGCTACCTCTCCATCCAGTGTGGTTTCCACCAGATCACATTGCTCCTGCCGCCCGGACCCTTGTGCTTACCTGTTTTCTTCAGCGTTCCCCCGGCCACGGTTCAGCGCTGCTTATGGAAATCCCACTTCTGCTGAAATAAAATTATTTTTTCATCCACTGAATCCTGCTGTTGAGTCCTACCTTTGTTTGGGCTGTCACCCCGGGACACAAACAGAAAAGAGACTCAATTCTGGTTGGCGTAGATGCCGAAAGGCGTTTGACAGGGTGAATTGGACTTTCCTATTCACAGTGTTGGAGAAGTTTGGATTCAACAATAAATCAATACAGATTATTCAAACTCTATATCAACGACCTACAGCTAGAATCAAAATAAACGGAACCCTATCTAACCAGACAGGGATGCCGTTTGTCACCATCCCTGTTCCCATGTTTTATTGAACCACTGGCCCAAGCCATACGCGAAAAAGACGAGTCAGTGGGTGACGTAGAACATACGGTCGGACAGATGACGTCATTGCATTCCTTGAACGGCCCAGTGAATCGTTGCCTGAATTAATAAGAACGAATGTATCACCCAGACTTTATACATGTTCCAAGCATTATAATAAAGATACCTCAAACACAATTTGTATCATGGGACAGGATGATATCCAGATTCATATGGGGGCCAAGAGAGAGATTCAGAACCCTCCAGCTAAAGAGGGAGAGGGGGGCCTGAGTCTGCCCAACTTGAAAGACCACACGGCCCAGCTGAGACATGGACATTGTAGGTGTAAACTTGGAATGGAAAGAAATGGAAAAATCGTTTAGAATGTGTCCGGTACAGAGTATTACACAGGGAAACATTTAAGAAGGTTAGAAATCAAATGGATTCAATCGCAAAATTGACCTAGAGAATTATGGTTAAAAAATTACTTCGACATAGTAAAGCGGAGAACGACACAAATGTATTGAAATGGGGGGCTTTAGGAAAAAGGAAAGAAAATAGGAAAATAGGAAAAAGGAAAGAGAATTTGACATGAAAATATCTGAAGATGAATGGGACAAGATTTGGGAAAAACATAAGACAACAACCTGTTGGTGAGTCATGTTGGAGGAACTGTGGGTCACCTGAGGCCAACCATGCACATATATTCTGGAATTGTCACAAAATAACAGGGTTTTGGGCAATGGTCCATAAGATAACGCAAGAGATTCTGGGATACGGATTTCATATGAATCACGAGCTGATGTATCTGTGTATGTACACAGAGATTATCTATGCGTATCTATTCCATCTATTCCATCTATTCAAGATACTCATGGTTGCAGGCAAAAAGGCCATCACAAGGACGTGGGGGATGGAAGATCTACCCACTCGGACCCATTGGGTGGACACAGTGGGGGAAATACATATCATGAGAACACTGACACAAAGGCTACAGCCGACAGGACCACAGATGGACCGTAAATGGAGGAAGTGGACTCGATGGCAGTTGACACACAGTTGGGCACTCCTCGACTCCTCCGCTCTCCTCACTGAGAGCAAACACTCCACTAGATCTCCACTCTTTGCTGTCCTGCTCCTAAATGGTGGAAGGAGGTCTCTGAAGACATCAGGACCACAGAGAGCCTTCACATCTTCAGACTAAAGACACACCTCTTCACACTCTACCTCCACTAACACACTAACTAACTAGCACTTACTACTGCTCGTGTACCGTTGAGGCAACACATAGTTGGACATCCTGGCGCCATTTTGCATAATCTTTATAATCAAGATCCTTTGGACGGATGAATTTGAAGAGAAGAGAGTGGCGAAGTAAAGGAGCAGCTCATGAGCCCAAACACACCACCTCGTCTGTCAATCATGGTGACTGCCAATGGAACTGTTGGAAGGTCGCGTTGCCCGAAACTGCTCATTTGCGGTGTTTCTGGTGTTTTTTTCGGCGATCGTCACCGAGCTGAAATGATAACTGACAGTCGGGCAAAATCCAACTGTTACTTTGAGAGCGCACTCTCGACCAATCAGAATCCTGGATTTAATCTACCCGTATTGTAAAATGGGGTAACATGTTATTGGGCATGTGACCAGGCCCCAGAGCACAATAAACGCTGCGTAACAATCACGGTACCTGCTGTAATATTCTGTTGGTTTGCTAGATCGGTCCCAGTATTTGGATCTTGTATCTATTCAAAGAGCAAAATTCAGTTTCCAAGTTGCGTGACTTTGTCATGATGTTTATAGCCAGTGGGTCCCAAACTGGGGGTCGCGACCCCTGGGGGGGGCGTGGTGGCGACATGAGGACTTGCGTCGTGTTCGAGTCTCGCCCTGCAGAGCGGCTCAGGGTACAAGCGCAGCAAAGAGGCAGAGAGAGACAGAGACAAAGGGAGAGACACTTAGACCTGCTCATTCATTCCCAGCTGCTTCTCATCTCGTCGTCCTCTCTTCCCCTCACCTGTTCCTACCTTCTGCAATTAGACCCTCTATCTCTAGCCTGCCTCTTCCCCTTGTTCTCTGCCAGAGTATTGACTATGCACCCAACGTACCTGCTGTCTCGTTTCTCCTGCCCTGCCTTGTCGTGTCCTAACCAGGGCTGTAGTGGAGGGTAAACGCACGTAAACGCCGTTTACGCACCTCTGGAATTTTGGAAATAGCGTTTACGCGCCTATAAATAGCGTTTACGCACCTATGAGTGGCGTTTACGCACCTCTAAGTTCCCTGCGCCTTGTATAATTCCGTTGGAATAATCCGAATTAAACTTGGTGTAATTTTAAAACAGCTCAGACTACATTTCCTATTGTTGAACATATAAACGGCGTAGTCTGAATCATGTTCATCTGCGCTGTATTACGGTCAGTGAGCATCCAATCAGTGCCTTGCGGCTGCAGCAGCGACCAATCAGGATCCAGGAGGTGTGTAAACACACGCTGTGGATCAGCCCAGTGGTCCCGGACCTTTCTTACCTCACGGACCGGTTTCATGTCAGACAATATTTCGCGGTCGAGAAGGTCCGACGGGGGGTAGTAGTCGCGCGCTCTGTGTTTGCTGGTCGTGCACGGTAAAAGGACGAGAAAAACGCCTGGTGACGTGCGCACATAATTAGGAGAAAATCCAGTCAATGTTCAAAGGCTCTGCCTCCCCTGTCATTATCTGTTGCTTCACTGAATAGGCCTATATGCTTAATCAATTATTTGAAGTCATGAAGGTTGTAGAGTGCTGATGACATAGGTAGTACATGAGTGTTCCTTTAACTTATGTTGTCAGTGTAATTGACAGGCTGCTTAACTGGTTAACTCTTAATTCAACATGTTTTTTCAGGCAGTGAGAGGACAGGCAATGATGCAGAGAGCACAGGGAGAGAAACACCAGGTCCAATAGAGAGAGGAGAAGCACAGAGGAGCCATGAACCCCAGATCGCGTGTTCTGGGGTTCATGGCTCCTCTGTGCAAGGCAGGACCTGACGTGGAGGACAAGGAGGCCCTCTGGGCACTACTGTGAAAAGGAGACTCTGTAGTTCTTAATCTGCAATTGTCTTGTTGTGTTGACATACTTTTCTTCACTGTTTTCTTAAATTTAATAAACTACAAACTAACCATTTATTCATTGTCATTGATTGTATATGACTTTTACTGATAACATAATGCAATATAGCCAGGACAGCCTTACAGAGTCGCGACGCTTTGTGTTGCGTTGCTTCGCATCGCGTCGAGGTCTGTATGATCACAAACTTCAGAGTTTACCCACCTCTAATTTTACCACTACAGCACTGGTCCTAACGGCTCGTGCCTTACGGTGTGGCCCGAGTCCAAACCTCTGTTCCAGCCAGCCTCCCGTTTGACGTGGGCGGCCTGCTGTCTGGAGTGATGGCAAAGTGAAGCTTTGCAGCCAATTGTATCGGAAAAAGGTTCATTCATTCAATGCATCGCAAACTCTATGATGACCTCTGCTGTTGAAAACCTATAGTGCAAATGTATCGAATAGCCTACCAGTATATTTTGGCCCAGTCTCTGTGGGTTGAACATGATTATGAAAAGTTGAACCAATAAATCATCTAATAAATACATGGATTTCTATATGAATAAAACTATTGTTTTTCAGCTTTGACTTGTGTCCTTGTTTGTGTATTTCAATTCTCTGTACATTGGTAAGAAGTGGAACAAACACTTATCTATGTCTTTCTGCACCTTTGTGCATGTATGTTTGTGATCATAATAGCAGAATAATTAATAGAATACATACATATATATATATATGTATGTAAGAAATGTCATTTAAAATACCAGAATGTGCTTCCTACAGCGTGTGCCGTTCATGTCAGTCACAGGGACTTATGTGAATTGTTTTTAATGTGGAATGTGGGAAGTGATTGACAGAGGAATTCTTGAGGTGCTTGTGGACACATGGGATGGGGCATGAAATTATTATTGATTTTTATTGAGAAACACAAATTTCTCCACAGTATTGGGGTTGAGTCGGTTTCTTAGATACTGTTTCCCCCTCCTGCCTCACGATGAGGCAGGAATGCTCATAAGATTACGTGCTGATACAAATAGATGTGGGTACATGTTTGTGTTTGACCCAATGTTTTAGCGGCTCTTCACTCCTGTTTCCAGCCCATTGAATCAAATGGAAGCGGTCACATGACTGTGAGCAGGACCGAAGCTTCGGACGTCACTGATCACGTGATCAGCAGCGAGCGAACCGAGCACGGATACATTTGCGTCGCCGTGCACTGGTTCACATTTCGACACAAGCTTCGAAGCAGGAGGGTCGGAGGTCACAACACTAGCTGTCTGTAGCACTCTTCCCTCGCCCTGGAGCTCGTTCCCTGCACTCGCTGGAATTCCCCGTCGCCGGCCAAGCGCCCGCGCCTCTTCTGTTAAGCCTTTAGTGCCATTTTGTTTTTGAGACCACCTTGTGGCTACCTTAGTTCCTTTTTGCCTTGAACATTCTAAGTTTATTAAAACAGACTTTACCTGCCCTTGCGTTTGGGTCCTCTCTCCTCCATCCACACAACAGAGACATTAACTTTTACACTAACAGCAGATTGTGGAGGTGGGTTTGCTTGGTACAGGCACAGGCAGGCCGGTGTCATGGCCGGCAGGCAGGAAGAGGTCTTGTAAAGTCTTGCGTGTGTTGCAGAGCGATTCACCTCCAGAACAACAGGTGGAGTCACGTGTTTTGTTGAAGACGACCTGGAGAGTCACGTCTATTTATTTATGTATCATAGACTTTATTGCCTCGTGCATCCACACTGCTGCTTTTCATCACGGACACATTTGTCCCGTATTTTCCTCCACGACTTTGTTCATCTCGACCGGCAAACCGGCGTTTGCGGCGATCTCCCCTCGTGAATCCAACCCATATATTCCCGTCATATTCACGCATTTCCTCTGACAAAAGTTCTTAAATCTGCTCCGTTCTGTGGTAAACATGCTTGGTTTTAATAATGGCGCTGTCGGGCTCCGTGAAGGACGTAGTCAGCAACACACGCAAGACTTTTAGAAGCATGAATTGAAACGAGTGCGTAGACGCAACGACGCAGACGCAAACGCAGAAGCATGCGCCGGGCTTAATTCTGAAATCATGCGGGGGGGGGGTTCACGGGCGCGGAATGTAGCGCAACCCCCCCTTGACCGGCCCATCGCCGAGGATTTTACCTTGCCCCCCCTCCCCGTTAACCGCGATTATCCGCGCCCGTGCCCCCCCCCCTCCCCCCTTTTCCAAGGCTAATGTTTTGTCTAGCCTTATGTATTGGAAAAGTTATTGCATGAATGTACATGAATTTCTCTCTAAATGTTTGAAAAAGTGACCTGTAAATATTGTCGTTAGGGTTAACCTAACTGCTTTTTTGTTCATATGATAATGCTAAATGTGGAAAAACTGCGCAGGATTTTGGAACGTGCAACATTTTACAAATGGCGCCCCATACAGCCTTAGCAGGTCAGCTGGCGGTTATTTTGACCTGAGCGTTGTCTTGCAGGGATATCGCCGACACTGTATTATTGTCACACGATACGCACATGGGCTCGGACATCGCTGTTATTAACTGAAAGTTAGATGATGTTTAGATAGTGCTTGTTTTATGTGAATGCTGTTTTGTTAATTAAAGCAGAAACAACGTGCATGTCGAACTGAATGCCTGGTGTCGTTTCTGCTGTTCAACTGTATCCGTCCTACAGGTTAATCATTCAACTTTGCTGCTGTGCTCCCATTCCTGGGACCCGTAACATAAGTCACTCCTGATTATTATGCACAACTGCAAAATGTGCAGCATAATGCCAAGTCAAGAGAGACTCCAAAAGCAGAAGGACAGGGAATATATCCTGTGTTTGTTCATTTTATTATTCATATTTTCAAGTTGCTGAATCATTTTGGCGATGAATGCCCTTTTGTTTTGAGCCTGATACTGCATCAAACAGTGCACTGATTAATGAGTATTGCTGTGTACATTAATTAACACAAAATAATCTTTGTGTGGTGAACTGCTGTTGCTAACACATATTGGCCTCGGTTTATTTATTCATATTCATTAACTTGTATAATGTTACTCTGGTAAGTGTTTGTGTCACATTAGCATTTCTAGCATACACACTTTCTATTGCGGGGACTTTTACTGTGAAAATGTGCGTACTTCCGGTCCAGCTGCTGCGCTCCCTTCCTGTTTAAAAGTCAGGAAAGACAAACACGGGATTTTGGTTTCGATGCCCCGTCGTTCTACAATGAAGATGTAGCTTTTTGTCCGCCTCACTCCGGTTAAAGATACGTGTTGTTCGAACAGCAGAAGAGCTTTTTAATATATGTTTATACATCAAGCGTTCTAATATTCCAACAATCCAGAAGAACCAGCCGCCATTATGGAGGCAAGAGGAGGAGGAGGGAAAATGGCGACATGTTCGCGGAACTTAAAAGTAGAAACGGGTGTTTGTAGAATGCGTCGGTCGCTCTTCTGTAAGTGTCTCGCAGCACAAAGAGGTTCTGAGGTGAAGTTATCGTGACTTTAACTAACGCCGCTGTTGTTTAGGTGCGGTCCTCTGTGTCTCCGTCCTCGTGACTCCAGGGACGTGTTGTCTGTCCAAGGAGTACGAACTACCGGGCGGCCAGTGCTGTCCGATGTGCCACGAAGGTAAGCGGACACTCCACCAGCGTCTCCCCGGTTTACAACAAAGTGTCGCTGCAAACAACACACGGACATATTTATACTCATGTCCGTGTGGACCTGGATTACATTGAGAATATGGAAAACTTATTTGTTTCTCTTTTAAATCTTAAAAGAGTTTTAAGATTAAGGTTAAAGTCACATTAAGATTAAGATTAAGGTTACAAAAGCGAAGCGAATTATTCGCGTGAGCAGAGTCCATGTAAAGTAAATGCACTGACGCGTCTGGACGCGAATGGGGCGAATTTCAAACGGCGCGAATGACGCAAAAGACGCGGCGCGAAAAAGCGAAACGAGCGACACGAATAAATCGCTCTTTCGCCCAAAGTTGAAATATTCCAACGAAAGCCAATCAGCGTTGAGATGCTCCGCTCGTCATCACTGAACACACGTTATTAAACAGCCGCTCAAGTTAGTTAGTGTGTGACCGAGAGACGCACCGAGCCGACACAACAGGTCATCAGACCGGCTGCTGGTCCGCCTGAAGCAGCGTGTAGTTAAATGATTCTATTGAAGCTCTGATCCAATGGGGTTACGTTAGGCACCTTATCTGCTGCTGTGATTGTTTCCCATCCTTGATGATCTGAAGGTGCTTTTGTCTTGAACAGGTTCAGTGGTTAAAAGAGACTGCACCCCTCAGTCAGACACGCGGTGCGTCCCCTGTGTGGACGGGACGTATATGGACCGACCGACTGGGCGGAGAAAAGGTTTCACTTGCAGCTCCTGTGACCAAGGTACGTCCACAATCAGCTGAGTCACCTTTCACTCTCAGGACACCCTCCTGTTATTATACTGGACAAAATTAAACCGAATAAAAGACACAAAGCAACTATTTGCCACCCTGGTAATGGATGCAACTTGATTCCCAATGAATCTGATGCTGTGCTGTGAGGTTGATGCCACGTTGGCTGTAAAGAGGACCGTAGTCATTGTGTTGTAGCAGGTAAGTGTTTTATATGGAGCCTTGAATGCAGCACATTGTATATCTGTACAGTTTATTATCAGTGATACAGCTTATTGACATTATGAACTAACAATACAGTAAATGTATCAATGTCCACAAACGTTGTCTTTAAGTGGAAAAATGAGTGATGTAATTACAAAGTGACTTGCTTTATCTTTTCTTAGTACATTTACTTACCTGTCTGTCACGTTTCACACTGTCAATTCCCTGCGTCTACATTCAGTTTTTATTTTGTGACAGACTTCATATAATACAGCTCTTTCTCTTTAAGCTGTAAGGTAGTTTTCCATCGACCTCTCTGCTCTTCTGTCCGTCTCATATCATTCAGTTCATTTGTCGCAATCCGCTGTCCAGCATCTTTGTTTAACTATAATATAATGAGTCTGTGTTGGTTTTCAGGCCGTGGTCTCTTTGCCAAACAGAACTGCACATCAACAAGTGACACCGTCTGTGACGTCATCGCTGGTCACTTCTGCACGGACCCGATAGAAGATAAAGAATACCGTTCGGCACGCAGACATTTAGACTGTGAACCTGGTCACAGGGT